ACAAGCTCTGTATAATAATTTTAAAAAATTGTTTTGATAGCCCTAGTTATTTCGTCTTCTTGTACTTGTTAATAAAACCAAAAGCTTTCATCCTAATTAGCTTCTTGAACTATTAAAACAGTTATTTTTATGCTACATTATTAATTTTTAATAATCGCACATGTATTGAAAAGTAGAGATGGGATCGTTTCAGTTCGATGTCGATTCCAAAAACAGAGAAAACTTGAACCTAATCCATTTCTGTTTAAACCTTCATTTTTTTCTTCTACTTTTAATAATCAATAACTACAACAATAGTATTAACGATAGCCATGGTTTTGTTAACTATTAACCGTTTCAAATTATATTTATGCATTAATATGTTTATGAGAAGGTTCGTTCATCACTTTCATGAATATTCCCAATCAACGACTTCGATCAGTCGAAATGAAAGATCAAATTCCAAATAGTTACTGCATGTCATATGTGCACTAATTTTGAATGTTTGATCCGAAGAGGGCTTCTCAAAGCTTTTCTCTGAAAAAAGAAATAGTTAAGTTCAGAGTACATGTTTCTCTATGGAATTTGACAAACTTTTTTCAACAATGTCGAAGAATAAACATCTGTTCGATCTTCAACTAGCTAGCATCATAACTAATGATGATGCAAGCCAAATCTACTCGTATCTTAAATGATTCCTCATGTACTGATAAGAAGCCGAGCCAAAAAACATAACAGCGTAACTGCTGAGTTATAGAACGTATGATATTCATTCACAAAGTGTGCAAATTTTGAAAGATGTCTATTCCGTATTTAGTTGTGATTTTCAAGTCAAGTTACCTACCATTATTCTGCCACCACATTAATAAATGTTGCATTCATGTTTCATTTTAAGATATTCAACAGACTTCATGGACTAGAGAAAGCATCGGAAATGATCAGACAGTGTTTTACTGAAAAATATTCACTTGAAAGGAAATCGAACAAGACAATGTTAAGATTATCGTCAAAGTTTACCAGGAAAAGAATATTGACGAGATCATTATATCTTCCAATTTAATCTACTTCTGAATGTTTCATGATTAATAAGTTTTGGTTAGTAGTTAACTGAGAAATATGTATTGTAATTAGTTCAAAAAAGTGTGAATGTTGACATTGGTACGGGTTTTATTCTCTTCTATACCTACAGTAACCTAGTACACGCCAATCGACTCTACTTGTCTCGTATGAATTATTCATGAGAAAGAAGCAGCACATCTTTCGAATGTTTGTAAATCTAAATTAAAGGTCTAAAAAGAGCACTAATCACATTGATGTCGAAGATACCCAAGAATTATATTACAGTTTCGGGCCAAATCAATATTCAGTTTTGAATCATCGTTTCTTAAAGTTCGACCCGAAAAAAACAATGATAGCTAGCAGGTTTGTGCACCAAGTAATGAATCAGCAGTAGAGACTCCTTGACAGTTTTTTAAAGGTTTGCATCAACTATTTTACGGTGAGTTCTCTGAGAATTTCTAATCAGATTCAGAAAATCTAATACCGATAATATATAAATTGATGAGATCAGAACACCGTGGAAATATTCTATATTTTGGAATACAAGTGAATGTTGTCCTTTTCAATCCCTTGAAGATTCGATCTTGACATATTTTTCAACGTTCTCTTTAAAATCTGAAAGCGTTTAGCTTAGTAACAGCAATGAGGTATCGAGTAAGCAAGCAATCACTTTTCACCTTTCATTCTTGTCCAAAATACGAGTTTTATTGTTCTCTCTGTTGTTTCTTTTCCTTTCGCATCCAGAAGTAGTAGTCCTCTCTTCGTGTAGATGAAATTTCTAATGACGATGAAATATATGGTAGCCTCTTTTTTTTCTTTATTTTTTATACTACAAAGAACACTGAGTTCTAGTTTTCTTCTTTCAAGCGAACTATCAACCGTCAGTTTCAATAATCAAAAATAGGAGACTATAGATTGCGAATGAATACTGTTAAAACATTTATTGAAGAAGTACAAGAAGAGAAAAAAAAGAATTATGTTCTATAATGTTCTAATTACGGATTACATATCATTCAAAGATCAGCACCACCACGGAGTCGGAGTACCAAGTGAAGTGTGCTTTCCTTTTGAATGTTGTAGTCGCTGAGAGTGCGACCATCTTCGAGCTGCTTGCCGGCGAATATAAGGCGTTGTTGATCAGGTGGAATGCCTTCTTTGTCTTGGATCTTGGCCTTCACATTTTCAATAGTATCGGAGGGTTCGACTTCAAGGGTGATGGTTTTGCCAGTCAATGTTTTCACGAAAATTTGCATGCCACCACGAAGCCGAAGTACAAGGTGCAGAGTACTCTCCTTTTGAATGTTGTAGTCGCTGAGAGTGCGACCATCTTCCAATTGTTTGCCGGCGAATATAAGGCGTTGTTGATCAGGTGGAATGCCTTCTTTGTCTTGGATCTTGGCCTTCACATTTTCAATAGTATCGGAGGGTTCAACTTCAAGGGTGATGGTTTTGCCAGTCAACGTTTTCACAAAGATTTGCATTATTTTGTATGCGAAGAGTGAATGTTTTAGATAGAGAACAAATAGTAAGAATGCTTTGCAACAACGAATGAAGGCAACACCAACATGCGACAGTTTTTATAGTATAGCTGCACGATAATGACTCAGTCGGATGTTATTTGTCGATGTTGTCATAAAACAACATCGTGTCGCTTACTGACGCATTGCAAAATACCCAGAACAGAAAGCAAAGTTGGAAAGAAAAATAAGAGTCATTCAACAAAGAAACAAACATGTCAAGAAGCAATAAGGATTTTTCATCATTCGAGAATATTCTGATGCATTAGTCAGGTAATACAGAACAAAATTTCGATTAAAGATTCAATGAAAGATCCTAAAATATAAGTGTTCCAATATGACTTCCTAGTAGATGCAACTATAACTGCAACCGAGAGATGATTTACAAAATGTTTTTACATTTTTCAGTGAGTTTCTTTCAAGTTTCACTCAAGCAGGCAAAAGATGTACATCTAAGTGTGAAATCTATTTGTTGACACGACCGTAGCTCTCGGTATGGTCTAAGCAATGACTTACATATACAATTATACCGAAACTTCTGTCCCTCACCTACACTTACATTCCATGCTTATTATGTTGCAGTAACCTTGGTGTACTTAGCTCAAATTGATAATCCACCCAATTATCTTGTATGCTGCTAAGTAAAATGCCCAACCCATTCAAATAATAAAGATTTCTAATTGCTATTATCAGTACAATGTAAAAATGTCCTAGACAATGTTGGCAAAAATGCAAATTAGAATTGATGACAATGGTCCTCGTTCTGATTGAAATCAGACTTTTCAGCTTTGAAGATTGATTGAAACAGATTTTAATCTATTTTGATCGATTAGAACGGTAACAGTCTAGAATGTCCTTAGAAAATGTTCTTGATGAAATGTCCCCGGATTTTCGTCCTTGAAAAAATGTCTTCCAGAGTAAATGTCCTTTAGAAATGGTCCTTAGTGGGATGGTCCTCGGAAAAAATGTTCTCCATTATCAAAAGATCCTTTTACTAAAATATGGACAACGTTCGGTGATAGGGTGTGGGTGTGGGTGTTATTCAGATGAAGAAGTATACTTACCCCACAACCTATACCCACACTCACCAACGCCCACAACACATACCCGCATCCACCCACATCCACAGTCCATATCAACACTCACACCCACACCCACACGCACACGCACACCCACACGTACATCCATACCCACACCCACACCCAAACTATCAGTAAAAAGAAGTATGCAGAAAGAAAAAAAAAACTTTATGCTAGTGATTATACAAAACTCTACTGGACCGATGGTTTGCTGTTACTAATTATTACTGTGTAATGAAATATGTCACAAAATTGAAAGAAATGTTGCAGTAATAGCTGTAATTGCATAATACTAAATGCACAACAATTCATATAGGCAAAAAAGAGTAAATAAATGCAAGGTCCGAAGCATACAAAGAGAACCGTTAGATTATCGTCACATTGTGGATGTGCTTTTAGAAGTAGCTCAAATTCTAAATAATATGATCACTTTTCTATCTACAATATTGACTCCTGTTTTATAATCAAAGATAATTTCGTTATCAACACAAATTCATTAACTTTCAGTATCAATATAATTAGTGATTTTTACTGTTCTTAGACCTAAACTAATTACGACAATGTTCTTTAGAACAAAAGTACAGCAGCAATTTGATTTGTCTTCCAACGTTTCAATTATCTAGTTTTCATTTTATATGGATGCTGCAAGAAAGGCATCATGACAACCAAGTCTTAGATTTCAATTAAAGAGATGTTCTTGTTATTCTATCCTAAATTCAATCAATCATATAAAACGTCTGAGGACACCACTTAGAATTAACAAGGATTCACTGACTTCAACTGACTCTGTTCGATGCGATAGCATCATCTTTGAACCAACCCTACCGAAGAACCTAAATGTATTACAAATCTCTTGTGTGTATATCATGAATTTGTACTCAATTTCTATCTTTATTAACATATATAGTAGTGCGACTATTTATACTCATACATTATTGAGACAATAGTACATAACACAATTGGACAACGTAAGACAAGAAATGACCAAGTCCATGAAATTTTAGATTAGTTTTGGCGATTATAACCAATAAGGCTTCGTGTGCCTATTTTTCGACATAATTGGCTTAACAAACAAAGAGTCAAGTTGCAAGAGATGACTCATTTCAAAATTTATCTGAATGCTGCGACTTACTTTGACTATTTCAAAAAAGGCTATTGATTTACATAATGATTGCTCAAGTCAATGATTACGGTGCCCCGATTCTTGGATTTCTATAGTTACAGAGTATCTTGAGTTACCCTATAAGCTCACATATACAAAAATTGTGCTGGATTCTGTTTTGAGAGTATCGAACGCTATGCAGAGCAATATCATATGTTTAAAGGTATGTTTCAAGCTGGATTTAATGAACTTCAAGTCAAATTGTTAATAAAAACACAATTCATCAAAACTCATTGCCTACGATAGAATAAATGAATTTAATCGAAAATCGTTTGTCAGGATTAGTAATTAAATATGCGTGAAGGAATTTTGAAGAATTATGAAGATGACCATTCTTTCTATGGTTACTACTGAGTACATTATGTAGCAAATAAAGTCTATACACCATGAAGAACAGGTCAGCAAAACTTGAAAAACACTCTCTTCCACACGGGCCAAGCCATTTTCTCGGCTCTTTCTTCGTCAATAAGCTCTTGTGTATCAAGTAAACGTCTTCCACTTACGATGTCTATAGTACTCGGCCGCATAAATGGTGGCCTCTTCCATATTTTCCATGCGGTATAGAAGATAAAAACAATGGGAACAGCAAGGTATGCTTGAAAGAATGCGTTTGCACTTGGACGAGCACCTTGAGGAAACATAGCTATATAGAATTGAGCAATGAGACATAAGATATTGAGAAGAAGACCGACAAAACTTCCCCAGATACCCAGAGGTGCCACAAAGGCAAGCTCGTCCAAAGTATAACCTTGCGTCTTCCACGCCAATCGGAACATAATATGGCATGCACATATGGAACCCCAAGTAAAAAATGTAGACAAACCGGAGAGAGCGAGTAGCCAATTAAATACCGCAGGGCCAACTTTTGCACAGTTGATGTAAGCGATAAGTCCTAGGAGCATCGATAGAGCAATGGCAAAGAGTGGGCGACCTTTACGATCGACATAAGCGAATATCTTCGGAGCTTGACCACATTCAGCAAGTGCACATAGAGTTCGTGATGCTCCATAGACAGAAGAATTACCCACTGAGAGCACAGCACAAAGAATAACGGCATTAAATATAGAAGGTAACACTTTGATGCCTGCATCTTCAATAGCAATTACGAAAGGTGATGCAGATGCATCATAGCTTGATAATCCATTGAGAAGTCGTGGAGATGTATAAGGCACCAAACAACCAATAAGTGTCAACGACACAATATAGAAAATCGTTATTCTCCAAAATACTTGCTTTGTTGCTCGAGGAATGGTCGTTCGAGGATTTGCTGCTTCGGCTGCTGCTAATCCAACCAGTTCCGTGCCCGAAAAAGCAAAAGCAGCAGTGACAAAGACAGTACATACTCCTTTGAATCCGTTGGCAAAAGGACCAGGATTATGCCAATATTTGCCGCCTAAATACTGATGATTTGGGCCACCTCCCGCTGCTAGGACAATGCCAAGAACGATAAAACCGAGAACAGCAATCACTTTAATGATAGACATATAGAATTCGACTTCGCCGTAGCCTCGAACACCAAAGAGGTTGATAATAAAAAGCGCGACAAGAAAAATTGTGATCCATACGCCAACATTAATCGACGTTGTCCAATAGTTTATCACAAGTCCAGCGGCTGTTATTTCAAGTGGCATAACAACCAGCCAGTTCAAAGCATAATTCCAACCCATAGCAAATCCCCAAGCAGGATCGAGAAAACGAGAACTATATATGGCGAATGAGCCAGAGACAGGAAAAGTCACAGCTAGCTCTCCAAGTGCCATACAAACGTTGAAAAGCATGATACCGATTATGCCAAAATCAAGAATAAGTGCAGCAGGACCTCCAGACGCAAGTGCAGAACCTGAACCAACAAAGAGACCAGTACCAATTGATCCACCTATGGCAATCATTTGCAAGTGCCGATTTTTTAATTTTCGATGCAAGCCACTTTCTCCTTTTTCAACATCATTGTTTTTGTCTTCTTCTTGTTTAAATTCATTCATTTCGATTGAAACATTTTCAGAACGATGTGCACGTTTAAACGAGTTGATTACTCGACGGAAAAAACTCTGATTTTGTTCCGTAAACGAGGTAGTCCTGATTCCTTCTTGATTGGCACTTATCGAGCTAATACAGTAATTGTCAGGTGGCATTTCTGATGGTATAATTGTCATTTTTGCTCGATATCAATCCTACTAAGACACAACAATGATGAATACAAACGAGAATATTTCGTGGAATTGGATTATCGTGGTGTAACGAGACGAAATAGTAATATTTGCGGACGAAAGTTATGCCCTTCCAATATTATAATGCTCATATATGAATCAATGGGAAGATTTCATGATCAATAGAGTACTTATAAACATTAAAAAGATGTCCCCTGATTCGATCATATCGTATATCAAGCAGCGGATATAATTTCAAGACACTTAGTATTTTTCATTTTCTGACTCAGCAATTTTCTTTGAACAAATGAAACGCACAATCAGTCGATGCAAAGTTTTGCACTCTCCACTTTGAAAAAGAACGTCTTGATCCACCATTGAATCATATTTTTAAAATTTAATGTTTGCTGGCGATGATGAATAATAGTATTGAAAGAAGGATAATGCAATCTGTTTGAGTATGAATTTCTGAGAATTTTTCCATGCGATAATTGAATTTTCTACCAAAAGTCGAGTTTTACATTTCAAATTTATTTCAGTTCTGTGAAAATAGAATTCTTTGCAACATCTCTAAAAATTGTTGTGCCTGAAATTCTTTTACTACACACATGTTACTCTGGATCGAATACACCAGAAGAAGATCGTCATTTCTTTTCTTCACTTTGTTTTGCTTATAACTTTTGTAGTAGAGTTAAAGGCGATCAACAAGAGGCTTCTTACAAAAAGAGACATCTTCTACCTTTCTGTGTTCGATTGTTCAAAACTTACAAACAAAATCCGCTTAGGTAGATAGATAGCGCTTCTTCTGGTGTATTCTATCAAGAGTAACAATCTGTGCAGTAAACGCATTTCGAATACACCAATTTGTATAGGCGTCGCAAAGAATTTAATTTTCTACAAAACTGATATAAATATAAAATTTAAAACTTGTCTTTTAGCAGAAAAAAACTTAATTCCATAGCAGATGATCTATCACAAAGAGAAATTGTCAAAAGCCTACTCTCAAACAGAATTTTTTTCAGATTAAAGTTGCACGATCTCGTTCGGTTTTTGGCGCTTTTTCTCATACACTATTTGGTATTCAGACTAATTGCATTATTCATTTTTCAATATCATTATTCACCATCATCAACAAACCTTAAATTTTAAAACTATAGTTCAATGGTGGACCAAAACTTTTTCAAAACGTACATCACATAAGTCTACTTTGATAGATGTATGTTTCATTTTTTTAAACAGAATCATTTGACTCAAAAAAATACAAAATATTGGAGGTGTCTTAAAATTATATTAATTGCTTTCTGATTCTATATGAAGGTCATGGGAATCTTGTGGAAAATTATTACACTACTATAAGCTATCAACTTCCAAACTATCACGTCATCTATTAGCAAATTATCTCTGTAAAAAAACTATTTTCTTCTTTAATTTTATCCTACTACTTTCTACCTACTTGCTTATCTCTGAATCAATTTTCTTCTTGCTTACACCACATGACTAAAAAAACACCAAAATAAAATAAACGCTCTCATATACTATTCCCACCGTTTAAAGCTATTCTTTATCACGTTGATTAGTAATTGTTCTTTTATTTTTCTTTTTCTTTTTCTCCTCATCAATGAAGCAGAACCAAGCTGATAAGTGTAATATCAAAACAAGAAACTGAGAAATGAATAATTAGCTACCTTGATAAGTAGTAGACCGCACGACGGTCGAAGGAGTGAGTCATATAGCAGTAGTCTGCATTGCATATGGGATATATTCGAATATATGTCTAGTTACGCATTATTCTCTGTTATCTTTAAACTGAATTATCGTTTTGATTTCGTTTCCCTCACTCATAATATTTTCCTGTTCGATTTGAAGAGTCAAAAGGAGCAAATGCAACACTCTACAACACACACTCGTCTTTTAAATACACAACTGGTCTCATTGGTGCATTCTATCTCCAACAGTAAGACACCAGCAGGTTTATAGAACAACCATATAAAACAATAGACTAATTTTCATTCAATTAAGCTCATCTTAAATGACAAATCGACCAGAAAACTTTCCTGTATAGAATAAGTATTTGTTGTCTCCGTTTGAAATGATTTCAGTAGCAAACAATAACTGAATTGGAAACAGAACAAAGTGTTTGTCTTTCTACAAATTGCGGCAAGTTTGATGACGATTGTTGTCGAGGTTCGTTATGCGCCGTCACAACATTCTTTACTGCAACAAGAAATAAATTGGATTGTTTTGGTAAGCGAGGTTTTCAAGAAAAACCGTGATCTGAACAAGAGAACTCGACTTTGTATCTGAAATAGGTTTTTTTTACTTTCCGGCTTGTATCACTTTTTGAAGCAGAAAAAAGTTCGAAACAGGATCAGATTATGCTAGAATCTTAAAAGGTTCAGCAAGACACCTTTCTTTTTTTTTATAGAATAAATGCAACAGAAGAGATATTCTCTCAATATCGCTATCAACTCTTATTGTTTTACAACGAACTTCTCTTCAAAAGATTCGATATGCCATTATCTATAGAAAAATGAGCACAATTGAACTGTAGAAATAAAACTGAACTATTCGTTCTAGAAGTGTTACGAACACATACTATTAACAGTTTTTTAAGGTAAATATGCAACAAAATTCTTTCTTCTTTGTAATGAACAACTACTTTAACAGCTCGAGACAGCATTTTAGGTCAGATCAAGTGAGCTTCTATTTGATGAAATATAAGAAGGAGTACACTATCTAAAAAAGAGTCTTTTTTTGACACAAAAATTCATATTCGTCAGATTGTATGCTGTCGCTCGAATCTTATCAAGAATATAATATATTGGTGTAGAATCGGGCTTAGGTATCATTATAGGAAGAAAAATATGCGAAATATCTCGGACTAGAAAGAAAATAAAATTGCCTAAATCGAGTGAAAAATCCAATAAAACTCTTTTTGAAATTTATTTCCAATCTGATAAAACCCATGATTTCCCTCTCGCCTAATGTGATAAAAATTTAATTATGCTTATGAGATGATTTAATTGTAGTTGGATTTTAACTCCGAAATATATGTCAAGCAGTGTTTTAACAATAGACTCTAATAGCCACAGATATTTCACAGGCACTAATGTAGTCACTCAATTTTTTTTTTCAAAGCATTGCTCACATTATTATCTTCACTAACGTCAAAATATATTTACGATGTAAACCAATTTCGCTTTCTGACTCTCGGTTAGCAAAATTATTTTCTTCATTCATGCATTTTTGAAGAATGGAGAAACAAATCATTCTACTCATCGTTAGCGTTTGATTATTTCTTCATACTGTTTCTAAGTTGAACGAGCATTAAGCGATCATCAAGTTACGATATCTTCGTACACGTAAAGATGGATTAACACTAAAAACGATCAGGTAACAATACGATCGTTAGTTAATTTATATTTGTGTGCCGCTGAAAATGTTCATGATGTGCTACGAAAAGTAAGTATAAGCAATGAACAAACTTATAAAACTTTTGATGAACACATCGTTCAATTTTTTCTCTCAATCTCAAATTAAAAAGAGTGAGTGTGCCAAAAAGAAGTTGCCATTAATCAAGTTAAGATGAACATTTAATATTTACCGAAATGTAGTTGATAATACCGACCGTGAGACACACAATGCAGTGAAAGAAGCTCACATATGTGGTGTAGGATGACAGAAAACAAGTTCTCTCTGTTTAATTCGAGACTTGAACCTCGCTGGAATCTTCCACAATTTAATGGCAGAATCTTTATATTATATGATCAATGCGATTATTATCGACCATGTCAAAAAAAAACAAACTCATCGAAGTCTCCATATTCATCAACATAATTCAGTCCGTGAACGAGCACAACACAGCGAACAATGAGCAAAGCCGGTACTGATAACATCACTGATGAAAAAGTTCAACGATATCGAAGTGGATCCCACTAGATAGATTTGAACTTGTTACTGAACCACTAAATACTATCCATCAACAGATTCAAAAGGTAATATTACAGAACCGTTGAGATTTGATATTTCCACTTAGAATTCTCGGTTAATCAATGCTGATTTAAAGAGAAAGATAGCCGAAACATTCCCAAAAATGCTGTTAGATAAGTCGCTGATCAAAGACTCGGTAAGTACGTTCTGCTTATCTCTAGACGAATAATTTGTAGTAGATTTTTTGTTTTGCATTCGGAATGTGAATCGGTATTTATCGTTTATTAATCAGCAATGTTCTGATTCTTTTCTAAATAAAAACCATATGTAAAAAGTACTTCCATTGGTAGATAAGGTTAAAAACGACATTTTTGTATAAAAATATATGCAAATGATAAACTGAGTATGGGAATGTAGATGGAATTTGACGTTGAAACAATATAAAACGAAGTTAAATGATTACAATCCAGTGTCATGCACTTCCGTCCTTTAAAACTTACAGTTTATTTATGTTCTTCTTTGAACATGATATTTTTATTTTCATCTCTTCAATATTTATGACTCAATCTCTTCTCATGACACATTGTTTATGGCAATAACTATGAGAATGTGAATATATTTCTAAAAGTATAGTTTCATCAAAATCAGACCAATTATCACATTCCACATTACAGTCAAGTCGATTTATTTGTCCTTCTGTTGTACATATGTAATACTCGAAAAAGCCTAATGGTAGAATGTGTCTAGATATGAACTCTCACGGTGATCATCGCGTAGCATTTCTTTTCTAATAACAACGATCCACTACAGAA